ATATATATAAATCGCCTCTACTAAAGATACGAAATTAACGGGCAACCTCGCGTGCTTGAAAGCAACTGTACATTGTAAAACGAGTTCCAGCGTCGGTCCGCGGTGCTCGCGGGAATTGTGATCCTTGTTAGCGGCTCCTAATGTATGCTATGTCGGTGATCTAGTACATGTTAAACCGTAACGACATCAAATGCCGCCAAGGTTACATTGTAGCGCGTTTTTTGTATCACGACTTGATCGGTCACATGATGCCTCGTCGTATGCGAAGGCATCGACTAGATCATTCAACCGAGCAGATTCGGTTTTGAAAGACACCATTTACTCGCCTAACACGTAGCACTTGACTTTTGTTACAATTTGCCAAAAAGTATCCATCTATTTATAAAGAGTTATTCGGGATACGGACTTCTTGTATTTACGGTGCTTTTTGCGTAGAGGAACTCTAGCGGATTTTGTAGAACTATATTATAATAATTCTACAAAATCCACTGAGTTCCTCTACTTCTAAATTCTAACTTCCAAAACTTCTACAGCGACGAAGCGTATCGTCGAGACAAGGCCACATCTCCTATAATGCTCACCAGGTTCGATTATATACTATATGGCGATTCCCAAGTTATTAGTTAACGATTGTTATGAGATTCTATGCCGCTCAAACGGTCATACTCCGGATAAGGCTAAAGCAGGTCTCCAAAATATAATATGCAATTTGTTTAATTTGAGCAGATTGCTGAAAAGGCAATGTAATATAATTATCGTACGTAATATTTATTGTAATATCTTCGCGGTAGATTGATCACCAAAGTCGACTTTTCTTTCGTCATGGCCTTGTTTTTTTTTGGCCCATGCGTGCATCGACGGCTAGAGCATGTGGGTAAAACATAATACCGGGGTTCTGACAATCGAGAACTAAGAGGCGTGTTTTTCTCCAGATCCTGGCTGACAACTATTTCGTTCCCGCTGAGCTAAAGCAAAGATCTTGTCCAATTTTGCCACATCGTCCGCGCTCATAACTTCTGATGCATCCTTCTTAATCTATTAAGCAGTACAGAGAGACGAGGCAAGAAGAAACTTTTTACAATGAATGTATCCACGTAAATACTGTTAATACTGGACAATTTACAATTAAACCTATCGAGTTTGAGTTACGAGAAGCTAGATAGAAATATTACATTCGAGTCTTCCAGATTATAGCTCGTTTGTGAGCATAATGTCAACGTCTTGCTTGTTTCGTCTGTCATATTGATGGCTGATACGACATCCTTCGTATCAAACTGGAAGTACTTTTGAAGTTTGCTCACAGACGATGAGACGCTACTTCATACCCAATAAGTGCATTCAAAATGGTCAAAACTTAATCATGGCTACCCTTACTTTTCAGATGTGAATACGACAGAAGTGCTTCTTTTTGTCTTCTCACACGTGTCTGATTGATTCCCGCCGATTTCGTTAAACACTATGTTGGTATATATATATAGGCGTATAAGTAGCTTCCTATCGTTTGTTCTTCTCTAAGGTGTTACAGTTGCTCTAGGCTATTTTCGTTTAACCCCAAATGTTGAAACTTTGCCCTTTAGAACCTATACGTAAGGTTGAAGGCCTCTCCAATCAAAATATCCATTATCCTTCAGGCTATACAAGGAAAGCATCTGCTTAGTGTCTACCTTGACCTCTAGATCATTAAAATGCCTGCTTATAAGCGTCCCCACTTTTCTAAATTTCCAACTGCAGGAAGACTCGAAATTCGACAGATAAGACTGTGGCTATTTCACCAGCAAAACAATCCGTACGAAGGCAAGAGTGATCGATTACAATGGTTATTACCACTCACCATCACGTCGTATCTGTTGATAGTTCGTCAGCCAATCTATTAGCAGTCCCAATGTTACGTAAGTAAAAACGACCAGCAATAAACTATTGATAACATTATATACATACATATATATGACCTACAGCTATATATATACATATATATATGCGATACTATTTATAAGGCTTTACAATCGCATTGTGCAGTGGACGACAGCCCAATAGTCAGCGTAGACCTTGCTTGAAAAACAGCAGCGGTTAAAATTTTTTTCTGAAAGTGAAACCTTCAGTGAACCGAATAGAACCGAGTTCATCACACTAAAATTATATAGGTACGAGCTAGTTCCGACCATTAAAGGCAAACGCACAAACGGCGATTTGCATATGATATGCTGCTATGTACACCTTCTCGAGGGATCAATGCCCCCTACTGACTATCGTATTTAGAGACACCTTCAATCATCATGCGACAGTCTATCTATGTGCTCTTAACCAAATGCACCTTGGCGTTGGTCCTTGCACGCTCACGGTCGATCATGTCAGCGTCGAAAATCACTCCCTCGGCGGGTTCAGGAAGAATCGGCTTGTGCTTCCAAATCAGCTTGCCCAGAGCCAGGACGCCTTCGCGAGACATTCCCACCTGTGTCCGATAGTACTCTGTGCCTTAATGCTCGTCATGAAAATAGGGTTTACGATTAAATAAGAAAGAAAGTTCTACGTCGAATGCTACCGTTAAATGCTGCAATCCACTCAGTTGACTTCTGCAGTAGCTTCTGTGCTAGTTCGTACCCAATATAATCATCGTATTATTCGTTACTTCCGAGAATTTCGTTAACTATAAGCAATTAGTATGTGATATAATCTACATATAATAACAATTTGGCATCATCATATCTTTAGCCATTTATGGTTCTAAACTGGCTGATTGTCGTCGAAAAATAACGAGCTGAGATTTGGAAATCCTTTTCAAATTTAGTACGACAACTCATCATCGCTAAATGACTGGAAAGGAAAAGTACTTTACCTTTTCGGCTATGTTGGGAAGTTCCATGACGAATTTTCGTTCTTCCTCGCAGATGTACTCATAGTCCAATCCCTATAAAGATTTATGTTTAAGATTAAGGACACTATCAATGTTCAGCTAGCAAAAAAAGAAAAAATATCCAAAGGGGAAAACTCATAGATCCTTTGGTCGCTCTTTATTTACGCTTTAACTGTATTTCAAATCTAATTTTGCGGACAGAGAAAGTGTTAGCTTATTTACTTATTGCGTCTTATTGCAGAGCGTCAATAGCATACTGCAGTGTAGAAAATACCTGAACAACGTACGGGCCAAACTAGAAGTTTGAACCGTAACGTGATGTTTCCGTTTGAAAAATTCTCGTGGACAAATAATGCTTTCTTACCTCTATTCTTGGAGAAATCAAGTAACTTTCTGGGGCTCAACTTCAGACGATTATTTAGTACTTTCAAATCACTTACTCAACTCACGCAAAAACCGTAGATGAAGCTCTCGTCAAGTTGTCCCTTGACGGATACAAGTGCTTCGACTGAATTTGAAACAATAAACTTCACCGACTCACGGGTACACTTCAAGTTCTGAGAAAGATGTGAAAAATCAGACCAACCTTGGGCAGCACAGAACGAATACTTTCTAGGAAACAATGCGTGACACACATATAATTCTGCCATGAGGTTTTATTGACAAGTACATTGTTAGATAGGCAGATGAAACACGTCCTACCGTTGGCAAGCACCGCCCTCGTCATGCCCCTTGGGCAAGCTAAATGAAAAGGTTTATGGTTTCCAGTTGCACGGAAATGGCCCTTATATGTCAAAATGGATGATGTTTCAGTATACCAGTGTACCAGCCTCTTCGCGTTACATGTGTGCTTCCGTGTATACCGAACTGATGGCAAAAGAGGTCACCTACACGTAAACATGGATATACAGTTGTCAAATGTCGTCAAAGGTCCAAATGTATGTTCTAAAGGCGTTGTGTCAACACCTTAATCGTCGAAGTGATCGATGCGATAATCATCGATCGTTTTCTTGCCGTTTACCAAACGTTTGGGGTGCGTTCCTACTCAGAACAGTTAACATTTCGCCTACTTTTTCAGTAACCATTTTTCGATGACTTCGAAACTTCAGTCACCTGAACTTTGCCATTTCCTCAATCATTAAAGCCAATTTTTTTCTATGTTATATCCATTGAAGTATTGTCGTTCTTCGAAATATCTCGCTTGACTGTTTCGAGTTACGCATCCGCCCTTTAAGCCCTTACTCACTGCTTAAGAACGGAGTTTAACTGAACGTTGTCAAGGTAGCTTATCTGTCCGATAGAACAGTTTGGCCATCTGATTAGGCCATCTCGCGGCCAGTAACAATTAACGACCTGCACGGTGCAGTACTGTGCCTGCTTATTCAAGTAATAGGCGACTAACTTTCCTACGATGTATATCATTCGGACAAAATTCGGTCACCTCTAATTAGACACAAGCTCAGGCCGAGTGTAGCCCAAATCTTCATTCAACAATGTCTGCAGATCTTTACCCTGCAGTACTGCCCAATCGATATCATCATCAGTCAGAGTATTTTTCTATGACATTTAGCAAGCTACACCTTGAAGGTTGCAATATAAACTGAACCTTAAGTGGAACGAACTAGTCTGTTCTGTTACACATGTAACGTTCGTTAGCCATTGCCGAAAATAGCGCAAAAAGCCTCAAGTAGCACATATGCCGCCTGCCATATGAAAATTAAAAACTCACGTTTCAGGATACGTAGAACGGTACCAGGATAATACCTGCGTTGAAGCGCAAGTACCGAGATTACCAAAACATCGACTCAGCCTCTGTTTGCGCACTTCACAATATAGAAGATAAATGCTTTTGTCATTTACGTTGGTTAGCGGCAACAGAGCTAATATTTGAAAACAGCATTAATTCGAAAAGTTGTTTACACTCAAATGGGGTACTTGGCTAATGTCAGCTTTTGTTGTTGTACTCTGATACCACAGAAATATCAGTTCTATCCGATAGACGTCTTTAGTTAGTGATTCGAAACTCAACCATCTACCTGTTTAGGTATTCTTTCAGACGCTTGACGACCGATAGACTGGGCCGAATGTTGTAGGCGCGTTGCAGACAATGCTTTCCTTGTGAATCTGTTCTCAACTATTATACTAAATCACTTCATTGAGCCCTTACACGGATATACATCAAAATAATGCCTGTACCCATACTGGGTTGTTCTATTATAACATTGTTTAAATAAGAAGTTAACCAACTGCGCTGAAGTATACATAGTTAAATTAGAGAAAACAGCATTGTCCGGATATTCAGCTTACCGTTACTGGTACTCCTTTCACGTGGGCACGTTTTAGCTGAGGTGTTTCCTGTTGCAGTCTGACAAGTTCGTGAGGCTGCTTATTTTTGATTGACACGAAACAGAAGTCGGTAATTTTTGACGTTAATCGCTTCGCCCAACGCTCCTTGCGGATTAGACACTAATGTAATGGTAACACAGTTTTTTTTTTTGTAATACGAGCAATTAATAGGTTGCGATTGGGTGCAGAATTTAGAACAAGGGCAAGCAATAGCTTTCGCGGCTACCCGCTACCCAATTATAGAGAATATAGTTTCTTAAGGTAGAAGAGATAAGGTTAGGATTAACTTATCGTTAATATGCGAGCCGTCTTCCGTATCATGATGACAAGGCCCAATAAAAATCAGTTCGTGGTTGATCTATGATACTTGCCCGGTTCTCTGCTTCTGGACTGTCAGGATTCGCAGCACCGATTGTCGAATTAGCATAACAATGCTCTGTGCAGACGTGACTAACACCATCGGTGCTCGGGTCGGAAGAGGGATGTTTTTCGTCAAACTGGGCTGGGCTGCTTTCCACAGAGGGTTGACTTGCGTGTTCTTTCGTAAGAGCCTTAGTCGACGGATCGTCTATAACCGTTAAACTGGTGTTTTCCTCTGACGTACTCATTGAAGGCGGCATCCTTTGAATAGGAGCCTCCAACGAAGAACCGATTGGCAAATCTATGCGAGTTAAACTGGTACTTTGTTCTGAAGCATCTACGCCAAAAGCGGTCCCTCGAAAGGTTCTAGCTGTGGTTGGGTCGGAAGAATCGAAGCCCAGGCGTTCTAATAACGTTCTCGTTGTATTCTGTTCTGATGCATCAATAGAAGGGGGCAGACCTGGGCAGGTTTTAGCTGTGGTTGGGTCCGACGCATCCGCGAGCCAACGCTGATCAAAATGGGTTCTACTCGTACTTAAGTCCGAAATGTCTCTAGGAAAAGATGGTATTAAATTGAGTTCGCTGGAATCCCGCACTGAGCTAAGCTCAATAGCGGCGCGACCCGAATCGATTCCCGTAGTGATCTGCCTCGAGTGGATTCCAACAGCTCCTACTTTTAAGCTAGTGACTTCAGTGACCTCTCTTTTCGGACTAATTTTGGCAGCGTGCTTTCCAGGGCTGTCTTCGGCCGGGCTCTCACCGGAAGCTAAACCTGGTATAAACTGACAACATCCTATCGATTTTATTAGCGAAATGTTGCAATCCTCCACTTTGGAGAATGTTTATTTAATTTTATAATTAAAATTCTTGTATTTACTAGTATATTCTAGAAGAATTGTCAAACAGCTTGTGTTTTCGGCGCCCTTTAGACGTTAGTTATACAGAACTGATCCGATTGACTGTTTGGTAAAATAAATACAAGTATACGAAGCGCGGACCGAAGTAAATCGAGGCAATTTATATATGGCTTGATAAAATACAAAGCCCAGGGAACATTGTTAATCTACCCTAGTAAACCTTTTTTTGCTCGTTACCTGACTCGGGATAGGAACTTGTGGTATCCAAACTGGGCCAAATTTCAAACAATCGCTTGCAGTGTACACATGGAAGGGTTCCTGTAAGCAAACGGTGAATCAGATAGCGCTCATTGTTTACAGAGTTCTAGAGGCACCGCATCTACAAAATCGCGCTTTACTCAATTTACTTGAAATAGAGCACGGCCAGATTCGTGCTTCTTGATACACATAAGAACTAGTTTTTACTCAGCAAAGCCGCGTATACGTTTGTGACGTCGATGGTTGATAGGGATTTCGAATTACTGCATAGCATCTGTCATACTGAATGTTCTTATCATAAGGAGCAAATTCTCCAGTAATATATCTCTACTATCCATCATCTAGAACGCATTTTAGTCTATAATGTACATATAAACTCCACTGCGTGGGCTAGTTCCATAGATAAAGTAGATATTTCCACAGTGTCTCGCTGCGCAATCTCATTTAAAATTTATTGAAATAATATTTATAGCGTCGTAACAGTAGCACACAGAACAACGATATGACAAGCGTGGCCTTGCGGTCACGACGAATGCGAGCCATTTTGCCTGTTATATAAGGCCTTGCTGCCAAAAACAATCAAGCAAACACAATTGTTTTATTGTCATCACGGCACTTTATTTATTCATTACTCGATTGGGCAAGTGTTGGACCGTACGAAGAAAAGACTGGCAGAACTTTTCTGGATAATCTTTTTAATTGCTCAATTGCTTTTTTCATGAAAGGGTAAAAGGCCCATCTTAGGTGCTACCCATGTATTTGCCACGAAGCGTTTCTGACCGACACTTCAACCTGGTTTTTCATTCAATGAAACTAATTTATTTTGAATCTGAAAACTTAGCAGTAGATCTGTTTGTTAACACAAAGGATGAAATAGGATGGCATAGAGAGTCCTTGTCAGCCGTTAAGGATGCTAGTTACAATATCGTTCGTTTTAATGAAAACGCCTGAACACCTAAATTGCGTAGGTAATGAAAGTGGTGAGAGAAGTGCGTTCGGCGCGACAGTTTTGCGATAGGAGGCGCTTGAAGTGAAGGAAAAACCTGGCTACTATAAACGTTCGGCCGACCTCTTAAAGCCGACTTAATCAAGGTTTATTATAATTTTGAAAACTGAATCCTTTATGGCACACCACATTATTGTACAGCTGTCTAAATGAAAGCTTTAAATAAATACTTAGAAATATATAGAGTATATATAAACCGCTACTATATGTTTTGTTCCATTATCCATCAATCAGCACCTTAGTAGCTATTCAACATTAATATGTCAGGCTTTCCATTAGGATAGCAGATGAGCAAACAATCGAATAGAACGATCAGCTTGATTTGCAAGGCGTTTCTCTGGCGGTATAAGGTGATCAATAAGCCGTTGCTAAACAGTAGAGAGAAAGCGAGCAATTCATTTCTCCGAAGATCCGCAGTAACTCATAGACGATTATTTTACAATAACATATCATCCGGTTCTAGAGTCATTACATTGTCATAGTAACTTTTTAGGGGCACGTAAGAAGGGCTTCGTTCAGCTGCCAATGTACACCACATTCCCTTCATTAGGTAAATACTACACAAACAACCAGCACATATACCACTAGCACTTCGTTGCCGCACTTTTTTTCATCTACATAAATGTTTATTATGTTATTATCACAACAAGGCTCCTCAGTCGATGCGCGTCAATCCAATACGGATTATGTGTCGTAGAATTTTAGGGGGACGGTTGAATGTGTTTGCTGTTTACGCTCGTGATCGTGAATGACTGTGTGTGCTTCTATAGATCTACGTATACATTGAGACTAAAATAGACAAGTAGGCTATTTTTGCCTAAGTTGCCATGTCGCTTCTTCCACCGCATCGGTAATGCGTTCGTTCGCTTATTTTGCACGGCTCTCAGCTCTCAAAGGGTTCTTTCGTTTGTCCTTCTTCGTCACGCGTTCCTGTAGGGTCTTCAACAACATAACATTAAAACAGGACCCACATTACTCAAAACATTACACGAAAGAGCATTGACTTCAGCGAGTAAGGTGAACCGTTTGCCCCGTCTCATTCATGTTGTTGATCGTGTCGTATTTCTATCTCTCGCCGTCTCTTCCTCTCTCTCTCTCTCTCTCTCTTTCTATATATATATATATATATATATATACATATATATATATATACACATATATATATATATATATATATATTATATATATATATATATATATATATATATAGATATATCTCGCTGTCTCTCTCAGTTGCTTCGATTTCGCCCTCAGTACGGCCACTTCTGTTTCCCGAAGAATTCAGTCGTATTCTACTGATGTGGGTCTAATTTGTGCGCGCCTGCGCGCCTCGAAGGTATCGCTAGCTCGAATAAACGAACATCGGCATACGTATCGTCGTGCTGCGTGCTTTTTTCACACCCACTCACCTGCTGAGAGCTCTCCGTCGTCTCGCTTGGAATGAGAAGCTGATTGAGGACGGGGTTCTGTTCGAGCTCGCGGCTGGTGAAGTCGAACAGCGGTGGCAATGGTTTGTTGTCAGGCAGCCGTGCGCTTGACCGCCGCAGATCGTCGAAAAATGGTTCAGCCAGAGCTTCCCAACAACGGATTCGCGTGTCCGGCATGTACTGCAACATTTTGGTAAGCAGGCGAATGGCCTTTGTTGAAGGCTTATTCTGAAATCGAGTAACATTAACATGACACGTTTACAAAGTGTACCGTGTTCGAAATTCGTTCGTTGGCACTATCGCGTGTTATACTTCCCCACCGACACAGACGCATGCTTGTCGTACGTAAAGACCAGCCTAAATACTTTCTGTGCAGATCAGCTTTGAGGGTATGCGCACTCTATTGTACTAAAGTAGCTACATACAACAATTTCTTCATAGCTATCGTGTTTAGTGACGTTACCTTTAATGCTTTAATAAGGGGCACCGGATCTCGTTTTTTCAATGTTTTTGGAAATTTCGGATGTAGCTTGTCCATTTGTTCAGGTGTAGGCGTACCGAGAACACGGATGATCTCCGTCAACTGATCGATGCTTGAGTCACCGACAAATATCGGCTTTAGTAGAAACATTTCAGCAAAGACACAGCCAATTGCCCAGGTATCAACGGAAACGTCATAGTGGGTATTACCGAGAATCAATTCAGGCGCACGATAGAATCTCGAGCAAATATATGCTACATTGGGCTCGCCCTCAGTGAGCCGCTTTGCGGAACCGAAGTCGCAGATCTTCAACAACGCTGTCTTGTTTTCAATAAGAATGTTTTGGGGCTTGATGTCCCTAAAGACGTTAAGAAGTATAGGTCAATTATTGCTTGTAGATTAAGCAAAACAGAAAGGAAATAAAGTAAATTGATTGTTTTTTTACGTTGGATGTATTTTTTTAATGTATTATTTCCTGTAACAGGTAGATTAAGGACCCTTAGATATATGACATCTAGAAAGCGCATGACAAGTACTTAGCAAAGTAACAGAAGTGTGTTAACGCTTCTACTGAGCCATCTCGAGAGCTTGGTTACTATAGTATAAAGATCCGTCTATAAATCGTGGGTGCTATGCATAACGATTCTCTGTATCTGAACAAACTCTAGAGCATAGGAAAATCACGCTGATGGCAATTTATAACATAGATTCGAAAGTATTAAGCTGTTACGTGCAAATTCGATGAACCTTAATTTGAAATTTAATAACTTTTAAACCCAGATCAAGGACTTTTTATCACGCGTGCTACAGGCGCCCTCCTTTGCTTTTTATAGCGCTCAGATAGCTTCTGGACAGCCATATACCTACCATTCGCGCTTTCAAGTCTAATTTCTCTATAAATGGCTTTTCGGATGAAATCGATAGTGAGATAAGTTTGCCCGCCAGTTGCCCTTTTTTTGAGAGCATGGAAGGCTTCATAATTAGGCGAAGTTAGATCGGGGAAATAAGCGGATTGAAACCGGCGTTGGATATCTCTTCGCTCTAGGACGTAATGGAGGTTTGGCATTGTGATCAAGCAACCAGATCGCGTGCTTTCGATTGCTGTGCCAACGACCCATGAGACTCTTAAAGAAGTCGAAATAGCGATCTGCATTGATTGTTTCATTTTCGGCGCAGTATCTCAGTGGCAAAGGTTATTAGTGTCCGCTACTACCATCATCTTCCGCCCGAACTACTCGACGCTGGCACTGAACTCGATCTCTCCAGGACGACGTCATTCTCTTGGTCGATTCCTTTCCGGCCAACGGTAGAGATCGAACTATGCCTCTTCCTTTGGCGACTGTACATTGTATGGCCTGGAACCAATTCACGGGGGACCAATTTCTTAATCAGTTCCCGCATTTTCAGTGTTTGGGTTATAATTCTACAACACGTTACTTGTGAAATGCCAGTTTTGGTTGGCAAAACCTTTAGGCTTCCTCGAAAAGCACACTCCATATAAGGCCATACATCCTTGTCCTTCGGGTCCCGACACTTGGTTACCTCCTGGCTGGTCTTCAACACTCCAGTTTCCGTTCTTGAAACGCTTACATTTACGCGCTGCGCATTCGCTTTTTGCTTAGTGTCGCCACCAGTCTTCGGTAAATTTCCGTAGTGCTATGATTTCCAGGCAACAGAAACTGGACTGATTTTTGAAAAGTTTGGCGCCAACTCGTTTTTCCTGGGATAAACTCGATTTGTCTTTATTCACAAGTTCCTAGAAGCCAAACCTGTTATATTACCGGCGCGTAGTGCAAAAGTCCGCCAGATTCGTTTGTAACAGTTTATCATATAACAGGGAATTATTTCGAAAATCTGCGCTCATTGTGTCTGCCGAGAGTTTGAAATACATCTGCCGGTCGTCTACGCGTCCTACAGAGAAGCAATACAGAAAACGTCTTACATATGAACGAGTTTGTAAAGCTCTTATTTGGTACCTGTGGGCAATTTTTTTGGAGTGCATATAGGCCGTGCCCCGAAGTAGCTGATAAAGATAGAGCTGAATCAAGAAGTGATTGATGTCTTCGCTCTGCTTCCGACTTCGGCTTACGATTGCAGAGAGTGTATCGGACACATATTCCATAACGAGATTAATACTCATTTCTGGTTTTCCGGCCTCCGTTTTTTCCGAGTAGTAATAAAATAGACGGCAACAATTAGTGTGGTCCAACTCTCGCATTATCGCAACTTCTCGATTTTTGAATCTGAAAGGAGGTGTTATTGTGGTTGAATTAATAAATAGTTAGGCATGTAGATGTATCGAAACACGAGCTAGCAGATTAACTTTGATGAATAAGAAGCCAGTACGTAAAGTACGCTTAAATTAAAAGCTAGATAAAATTTTCTTAAGAATTTTTTTTGTTGTGGCAAATTAAATAGCTTGTACTATTTCGATTTAATTTCATCATTGGAGCACACTGTTTATTATCTCTATAATAATAATAATAATATAATACGGAGTACAATAATATTTAATGAAAACATTGATTTTATATATGAACAATAACACGATACGCTTTATGATATAATCAATTACTTAGGGAATCTCTTGTACTTGCTGCTTGTCGCTATCAGCAGCGCCGGTAGAAGAGGCAACTGGCGCACGATGTCATTTAGCGTTAAAATTATTTAAATAGGACGTTTCTTTGTCCAATCGCCTTTCCTCTTTATAGTGGCCCGCTGACACAACATGTCATAACTAAACGTTCCCACATTTCCTTGTAGTTAGCTAAGCTAACGGTACCGATTTATTCAGCCGAAAAGAAAACTATGTATAGACTTAAAGATTATGTGGCAGTTAACGCCTGATATCTATGACCGTGCATGCCCTTCACTAAACAGCCAAATAGTTCGAAAAAATAGTCCTAATAGGACTTTTCTTATGTTCTACGAAAGACCGCCTTTCTAGCCTTCACCGGCCTATTTTTCTACACGATTTGTGATGTCGCGTCAACTGCAAGTCTGAACCATATAATTTCATTATTTCATTGATCCTCTATGCTGGTTCCTCTCTGCCTGATATGACTGATTTCGGTAAGAAGCGTCGTTTAAGACACTGGTCAAGTATGACGATAACTTTTACTCGAACTACTAAACTAGCCCAAAAGTAGTGCTTCGATTCGCTAAAGGAACAAAGACGACGCTACCTTGGGTCTTGTACAAATGTCTAGGTATTTTAAATGTCTCTTGTGTGGACGACTTTTTTTCTAAATACCATTATCTTATCTTCAAAGACCATACTATAGCAGTATTTGGAAAATTCATTGACGTGATGTATAGGCTTTACTTTGGCACACCATGACTATGAAAAATTTTGATTTTTCATAGTCTTCGAAATTTCGAAATTTTCGAAATTTCTTCGAAATCCGCATTTTGTGCTGGCAAGCAATGGTTATACGACAATTGGAAATGAGAAGTATTCGGCGAGCGTGATCAAGCGTACATCAAGTTCCTCTTCAGCAGCCCTCAACCTTTATGCACCTAGCGACATAATAGTAATAATAATCATCATCGTAATAATAACACATACCATTATTATATGAACATATACATACAGTTAACATGTTCATCACTATCTATGCCTAACACCTTGGGTCATGTTCCAGCCGCTTGAGTGCGTACGTCTGCCCGTCTTGGGTCACGATTTTCCTGACGGTTCCGAATGTTCCTTTTCCAACATCGCCCACCTCTTTATATATTAGTTTTACTTTATTTCCATCTTTCGCTTTCCGGACGGTAACGTTGTGCCACTCTTCGCCATTATGTTTCTCGCGGCAGACTTCAACGGGTGTACACTCAAATTCACTCATCACACAGCCTCGGCCCGGACTCAGCTACCAACGCTGGGTATACCGATGCACACCTGGATGGGGCCACGCAGGAAGGCCACCTTTGTAAAAGAAACAACAAAAGCTCGTCAGACAGTGTGCATAGGGCGTACGCCACCACGCCACGCTTCTGTGTCAAAGCGAAGGTGCCCGAACTTCCGCAACGAGGGAACGAGGGAGAGTAAAATATAGGACGCAGAAACAAGCCGCTGTTAACCAGCAACAACTCCGCCAGATTCACCAGGTTGAATTTTGAACCATACCCATCATACACATGGTAGATCGCCGAGATCACGCTGTGTAACTATAACTGAATTGCAAACAGACGAGAATAGGTAAATTTGTCTGGACACTGAAGTAAAGACAGTTGCAGTACGCTCGAAGGATTAGATAGTAACTAGTCTCGCGGTAAGAACGAAGCGTGATCACCGCACAATGATACATATCTACAGTTTGGCGTTCTTTTTTTATTTCGTATATCACGGCCTAATCATTTTTAAATAGGTGTTGGGTACTTCGATTGACCCTCGGCCTCAAGTGTCTCATGGGTTCCGGCTCCAGAATCAGTCCTGGTAAAAAGAATTGATTCACTTTTTCTATGTTCACATTTGACCCTTACGACTTATCCCTGGTAGACGCACATGCGCGCTGTTATCACTCGGCATTGGCCGCTGCAAACGTTACGTGATCAGAGAAAAAAAGCACGGCTTAAGTAGAATTAAAAGTAAAAGCTAAATCACTATCTTCGAGCAGGTACACCGACCGATGCGCTATATAACGATGCTTCTAACAAGTCCCGTGTCTAATTCGGTAAGGTGGCCGAGGTAGATGAGACAATACTTGACAGATGAATTACATTAAATAATAATAAAGTTGCAGTTGATAAAAACGGTGCTGTTCTGAATACTCTCATTGCTTAATTGAGCAGATTGTTCAGCTTTAACATTTAACTTAATCCGATTAAGTTAAACTACAAGAGCTAAATAGAGAGGCACGTTTGGGTAGTTTTCATGATGTAGACATTGTGCTCTCGCGCGGAGCATAGCCTGCGTGCAGTAATTCGCCGACGCTCTACCCAATGTGTCTGTGTCAGCAAACACTCCTGAACATCTCGTCGTTTATTGCTGGTTCAACCCATTCGAATACAACCGGTCTACTGGTGGGTAAATATTTCGTCTCAAAGTAGCATAAATTATATTGGTAATCGTTCGGCTACCCCTGTTTCCTATTTGCCGCCTTTTGTTAAGTGATGCGCCTGTGAAATTTGACGCAATTATTTACACCTAATCAAATTGGCCCAGTTCCTTTCGGCAATTGCTTGAATCGTGGAACGAAATAGGCCCAGCCGAATATACCTTGCACGTTTGCATGGCCAATCCTTTGACACTGCGGTTATATTCCAAAAAGCTTCTCTTTACCACTTAATGTTTATTCCATTTCCTCGAATCACAGCTTAATGTTTATTTCGCGCATCTCACACGTAGGGAAACAAACTCAGACAGCGGCTCATGCTATTGAGAATAAAAAAAAAAAACACTATTGGATAGCTCTGATTGAAAAGGATAATATCGAATCTTTTCCTGCCTCGATCACTGCGATAGCCAGGTCCGCTTGATTGGCAGACACTATGCGACCCGGTGTCTTATAGTATCCCGGTATCTTATAGTACCCGGATCCCTAGTAGATCGGCAAGAGTGCATCCTTCGCACAGCTCGCAAAAAGAAAGCTTTTTAGAAGCTCGAAATTATTTGCAGTTCTCTCTATTAGGTTTTTTGACTACGGGATCAGTATCGTTTATGAACTAATTTTAAACCAAATATTGAGAATAAGAAACGTCTCATTGAAAAACGTCTACGTGTAAATAACACTCTACTTCTGCACCACCTACGTCTAAAGTATCGTTGAAGGACACTACCCGCCATCCACATGGCATCTTCGATCCGCCGAACGTATGAGGTACTTTTTTCGAGCGAGAATGGGGGGTCCATATAATCGACCCAAAAGGTAAGCATTCACTTCGGATGCGCACACGTACATAATATTCTCGAATAGAGCAATGCTGTATTGATTTCAGTTCTGGTTATCTCTCGCGAATGCCAGACTTAATAGAAGCGATCAATGTTTTTGCGTTTAATATATAGACGCACAAAATCATTATCGTTTTCATCTATTTTGTTTAGAGCCTACCCTTCCTCTTCAATCCTAGACGACTTTTAATTCAGTAACGCACGTTGCTCATGTCCTTTTAGAATACATGTACTTCTCTGTTATTATCCTCACAATATTGACAGCTCATAAAAGCGAACGCTCCTTACTCGAACGATGTTACTACTCTAGCACTACTCCAGTTCGACAGGAGACACTTTGTCCTGATGTAACAACATCTACGTGTCCTCATTAGTTAGTTGTCGAATACGCTAGCTGCTCTTACAGTCAATAGTAGCCATGTCTTGGTGGGATAGCTTGGATAGCACTATAT